TCTGGTTTTGCTTTTCTTTTTTCCACACTTAAGATTACACTATTCCACGTGCACAGGGTGGATCCACACAAGTCTTCAAGGACAAACCTTGATCAAGCCTGTGAAAAACTGTGATCACATAGACGCTCATACTATGTGCAATCACAATAACAATGGACGAGGAACAGTCAAGCGTCTTAATTCAGTCCTAACAATCCTCTAGACATGATGCGCAGCACACAGATGAGGGTTGAAAGACTGATTTTTTTTTTTTTTTTTTTTTTTTTTTTTTTTAAAGACACATATCAGAAAATAACACAATGAAGCCAACAAGCCAGGAACAGAAACGTGCGTTTGGTCTTTTAACTCACTCTTGCAGATACTGCTCTGTGTCTTACATCTCATACTGTCATTCAAAAGTAAAAGAAGACCCACAACAAGCCCAAAAACGCGCACACACGAACAGAAAGTGCGCCTAGTTAACGTTACAATACTTCAGAGGTACCTTTTTGCTGTCGGGAAGCGCCTTGCTCTCTCCCGTCAGAGAGTCGGACCTGTTCTGTCCCATGGTCCCCTGCTGCGGTGACATGATTTCCATCAAGGCTGTATAAATCCACGGGTCCGAGCGCACCCACGGTATATTCCCATGATACGTAAGTAAGTCCAAAGGTTTATCCGGCGGAGAAGAGAGAGCGAGCCAGAAACGAATCCATGATGGAGAGGTCTGATCTGAAGTATGAAAGGAGGTGAGACTGCTCGCTTCTGTCTGTGTGTCTCTCTCTCTGAGCGCTGTTTGCTCTGAGCGCAGCGGTTACGGTGTACTTCAGCTCACTCTGAACTTCAAAGTTAAGACAATGAGGTACACAGCTTCCGCCCTTGCTTTTCAAAATAAAGTCACTTTTCAGCCCGTCCAAAGATATCACGAGACATTTTTATAAATCAAAAACAAAACTATGACATATATATATAAATACAAGTTGATATAAAATAACAACAGCAGTGGTGAATATTGCAGTGTTTGTTCAAATTAGAAACTTAAAAAGTGAGCGTAGACTAGTTGGAGAACAGCTCGATGTCTGTGGAGAGCAAACAGCTTCCGGAAGCCTGAAAGTGGTTTAATAAATTCCAAAGCAGAGGCGGACTGTCCGCTGGGAGCACCGGGATATTTCCCGGCAGCTAAAGGGTCATTTGGCCTACCGTCAACAGTCAGCTCGACTGTAAAATAAACAAGTAAGATTCTCAGTGGGTTCTCAGAATCCACACATCAAGCCACACTCTGGCAGATAAACTCTGGAAGCAGTGCGCACCTCAAAGACGCGTACAAGGAGTGCAGAGTCCAGACAAGGCAGGCAACATTTGCCTGCTCCTCTACCAATAATATTTCAGCTCCCTATAGAAAACGATTGTCACAAGGAAAAGCAAAGATTAACGAGAGAAAGGAAGGATTCGTTCATTTTCAGGAAACGTGCGAGCAGTTTTGTGTACTACTTCAATCTAAGATAGTTAAACTTATTTTGTGTCTCACTCTGTGAAAAGGTGTCTAAATAATGACTTTTTTTGGCACAGTTATGCTTACAGACTCCACTTATAGAAACAAGACAAATGCAATAAACATTAAACGTTAAAATATGAATATAACTGGTCTGAGAGGCCTGGAACAGAATCAGAAGAGTAGCCTGAATAATTGTTTCAGTCCACCGGTGACTCCAACATCACTGATTGACTGGTTGATGTAAAAGGAACAAATTTGTGGCAGAAGCAAGTATGCATTTGTGAGAGAGGGTGGATGTCAGTGACAACACTGAAAACACTATGATGGCACCAGGATGCTAAAAATTATGATTATGTAAATTATTGCTTGCAATGTCCCTTCCACAGACACATGTCAGTAAAAACAAAATAAAAGAATCTTGTTTCAAGCATTTGAATTGACTTCAGTGCAGTTTTTGTATTGCAACAAAAACTGATGTCAAATGAAGACTTTCTATCTAATTATTATAAGTGGTTCATATGAGTGCCAAATTTGGCCCTTTTATTTTGAAGACTGCCCGTCATGGCCTAATCTTCATGTTTTGACCCAGTTCTGTTGCTAAAATCATGCTTTAGTTTCACTCTTAAACCCCCCCCCCTGTATATATGCATGTGAGTGTGTTTTCATTTGAAGCGCCCTCCCTGTTTTCTTTGGCAGTCGGTGCCATATAGAGCCCGCCTGTTTCTGCAGTACAGTAATGCAGTTTACAGAGGATCCAGTTCAGGTGTAAGAATGTACTTCCAGGGCCAATAATAATAATAACTGATGAGGAAGAATGTCCACAGTATTTTTTTATTTTTTAACACAGGCATGACGCTTAACTCATTTGAATTTTAGCTGCAGCTACAGTAAACCTCAGTGGGATACGTTCCTCTGTGGATTGAGAGTGTTTACTTTTAAAAGTCTGAAGGCAATCAAAAAGCACCCACCACCACTGAAGCTGATTTATTGAGTCTGTGAACTGAATTTTAAGCTCTTGCACATGTCCACTGGTTTCACGGTTAGGACTTACATATACAGGAGAAACCAGGGAGTATAAAATCAACAGCAACATGAGTGTTACCTGATATAAATGATATCTGAATACATCTGTATTTTTGTGCCACTGCGGTGTGTTTCAAAGCTTTAAAAAGCGTTTGGCTCACCTGGGAGAACATGTAGGTACCAAGTCGTCTTTCTTTCTCTTCTTTGCCTTGCTGTCTATGAAATTCCAAAGCTAAAGAACAATGACGGCCCACTGTAGACCATTGTCTCTTCTGCACAAACGTAAAGGTATGCAGTGATTGTTCCATCTTATCTGTCCTGTGAAAAGTGGCATGCATCGAATGATAAGAACACATTGATAGTGTTTGACCATCCTCTTTGATCACGTCACGAGCTACGTGAGACAGCAGCCGGGGAATCTGGATTTTGTCTAGAGAAAATAGCTTGATGCACAAAAAGCTGCATTCCTTTATTCTGCCACTAAATCAATGCTTTTATTCCAGAACAGAGTGCGGCCAAGTCATATTTGTCCCTGAACCTAAACTGCACTTTGTGCACTCTATTTTTTAGGGGTTAAATGACTGCCTTTGCTTCCTGCTGTTTTGGAGGGACCCAAAGCAAAAAAAACAAACAAAATAAAGAAAAAAAACACCAAAAAAAAAGAAAGAAAAAGGAAACAAAAATAAAAAAAAGTTAGACTAAATTGAGGGTGTGTCAGAAATGTGGTTGGAAACACCAATGGTTGACCATGACTGCCTCTGCACTGCACTGTTTTTTCTTTTACCACCTAAATGTTCCCCTTTAGATTGCACCAATAAAAAGTGTGCTTTGGATTTTGTTTTTGGTAACCATGGCAAAGCAATACATTTCTGCACACTTTTAATTCGTGCCAGAAATCCAAATTGGGTCACGCATCTCTGTGTCAGACGGCAGCCCCAAACTCCAACCAAGTTTGGCCAAATGGCTTCAGGTCTGAAGAAACAACTGGGAGCTTAATCTGCCCTAGGGATTCTGTCCTGGCATGAAACACAGACCTTCAATACATGTCCTTGAGAATTTCATCTGACGTTTTCTTTGAAGTGTGGGAAGCGGGAATGTCTCTGTCACGCCCAGGAAGCTGGGCTTTTGAAAACCTGAAGGCGAGGAGAGTATTGACTTGGACAACAAACAGTAGATTCCTGAGAGAGACAGTGAGCTGGAGAGTGTCCAGGGTTTTGACAGGAGCTGTTTATGAAGGATTCATTCATGTCTTTGGAGGGTTATGGTGTTAGGCTTTCACTTTGCATTTTAAACACATAGCAGAGTGTCTATTTAAAGAGCGCACTTACAAACACGCATACTCGTGTACGGGGAGGGGTTGATGACAGGCTCTAGTGGATAAACGGATAGACAGATTCAGGGACAGATAGATGTGTGTTAGATGACGGAGACACTTCAGGCAGACAGGGAGTAACTGTGACCCAAAACGGCATCCACCACCTTAGCCTCGACCGCCACTGCAGCAGCCACTGTCGCTGCTGCTACTTTAAAAAGCCAGACGTCCACGTGGCCGGAATCTTTCTTGAATAATCAATTATTACTGAAAAGAAAAGTTTTCACAAAAATCTATTCAGTTATGTGAAAAACTGAGTAAAACCTTACAGCTTCTATAGGAATTACTGTAAGTAGCAGCCAAGTGCAGCAAATCAAATGCGCTCAGTTAACTGATTACCAGTAGGTGTGAGCACCTCTATAAAAGCAGAAATGTTGACAGTTTGTTGCTCTGGAACGTTCAGGTGTGACTTAAAAGATTGTGCATTGCTCATAGAAATTGTAAAAACAAAAACATAAGATCTACAGCTCAGACTCTGCAGACCTCATTTAGCATGTGAAGTGTTAAAGTTAATAATAGTACAATTAAAAAAATACTGAACAAGTATGGCTTGTTTGAAAGGGTTGCCAGCAGAAAACCTCTTCTCTCTAAACAGAACATAGTAGCACAGCTTACTGTAGGTCTGCAAAGTTGCACCTGATCAAACCAAAGGACTTCAGGAACAATGTCCTTTGGACAGACGAGACCAAAGTGACGAATTTTGACGATAATGTGCAGCACGACGTTTGGTGAAAACCGAATACAGCATATCAGCACAGAGACCTCAAAATATATGTGGTTAAAAGGGTGATGGTTTGGGTTTGTTTTGCAGCCACAGGACCTTGGGCACGTTGCAGTCGTGACTGACCATGAACTCCTCTGTATGCCAAAGTATTCTAGAGTCAAATGTGAAGCCATCTGTCCTAAAAAGCTAATGCTTGGCTGATACTGGGTCATGCAACACAAACACAGCAGTAAATCTACAACAGAATAGCTGAAAAACTAAGGAATCAAAGTGTTGCAATTGTCCAATCAAAGTCCCGACGTAACCTGATTAAAACGCTGTGGTTGGACCTTAAGAGAGCTGTGCATTAATGAATACCCACAAACCTCAATGAACTGAAGCAACAATGTTAAGAACAATGGGCCAAAATTCCTCCACATTGATGTTTGAGGGACTACAGTTGGTACTATGGGCCGGCTGTAGCTCTGGAAGGTGAACAGGTTATCTATCAGTCGGAAGGTCAGTGGCTCAACCTACAGATACTCCAGTCTGTATTTCATAGTATTAATAGTTAGGCAAGAAACGGCTTCATTTATGCAGGGAAAATATTGTTCATGGAACAAGAATAAATGTTGCCAGGACACTGGATTCAAACCATTTAAACCAAATGCTTTGCACACCCAGCATTTTCCATAAGGCATGTTTCTTTGTTACAACACTCTTGGTGTTTGGCCTTTTCGTGTTCCTGCTAATATGTATATTAAGTGTTTGAAAAAGAAAATTGTGCTCTCTTTTTTCAGATGAGGACAGGCACGAAGAATTTAAAACCCCTAACTCTATTCTGATTAAACCTTTATGGGGGAATTCCTAATATGTTTATAGTGAAAAGCTCATCTACAGCTGAAAGTGAAAGCTAGTTTCCACTGTTTGGGTTTTTTTTCCATACTGAGCCCATCATCTGTTTACTCCTACGGGATTTAACCATCCAGTCTTTAAAGCCTCTGAGACCAATATCAGGACTAGTTTCAGAGAAAGAGAAGGCAAGAAATTTTAGCATCTCTCTTTGCCATAGTCAGCGTGTCTCTGTGTCTCTCGGCTTGTCTAAACACTGGCGTGGGGAGGCCGAGGCATATCAGACCTCGGAGACATGTGGAGGAGACAGACGGAGGCGGCCTGGGCGAAACAGACTGTGA